CCGTCTGGATGTGATCCTGGGAAACATGCTCTAGAGGACCTTGCCTGAGCCGGGAGGTTTGAACTAGAAGATCTCCAGAGGTTCCCTTCCAACCTCAACCATTCTGTGATTCTGCGTTTCATTGACCCAAACAACCCCTCTACACAGGTGTGTGGGGATGAGGGACTGGAAAATAGACTTTTTAGGGAAAGGAGGAGATGGGAATATCCAGAAGACAGGGCCAGGGTGTGGATGCAGATGAAGATCCTTGCTATGGGCCTCTCTGTTTTGTGGGTATTGTCCTGGGCTGAAAAGCCCAACCAAAGGGTGAGGTCACCAGGGCAAGCAGAGCAATGGGACTGAGCAGGGACAAATGGGATTGTTCAGTCTACAGCAGAGAAAACCCAGGGCATACTTGACAGGAGTCTTTGGACAGAAAGGAGGGGAAGGAGGTGTCCATCGCGCCCAAGGTGAACGAGGCAGGAGGCTCTGAGTTCGGTGTACTACCTGGTGGAGGGGGTGGAGGGTGGAGAGGAGCTGTCCAGGGAGGCTGGTGTCTTCATTGCTCGAGGAGTCCGTCAGACGGATGTTGCCAGCAGGGATATTGGTGAAGTTTCTCCTCCTGTGGGGCAGGGAAAGGGATCCTGAATGACCTCTCGGGATCCTTTTCAGCTCTATTAATCTGTGTTTCCTAAGGGCCAGGCGAAGCTTGCTAACCAACAGGCTGTCCTTCCCCTTCTCCCAGCTATGTAAAAACCCGGAGATGAGCGGATAAGAAAACAAGGAGGGGAGGTTTAAGTTCAGGGCGTGGGTCATGGGAGAATATTATAAATAAACAGGACATTTAAAAGATGATATATGCAGCACTAATATTGTTCCCAGTCTCCCACTCAGCACTGTAAGCAAATTACGCTTCCTGGAGCCATCAGACTTTCTTTTGCATCTCAAATACAGTGAACAAGGACAGGGATATGATGTAGTAGCTTGTGGCTGGCCCTTCTCTTTAGGTTTTTTTTTCTTCTCTGCTGTAATGACTCATGTAATTACACAATAATAAAATATGTCTGGCCTCTGAGGAACCCTAGGTCCCTGCCATGTTTTCCTGAAGGAACATGGGGTTAATATAAGGTGAAGTCCCACATAAGTTTCTCATAAGGCTTAATGCATCCGGATGCAGAGAGCAAAATGGGATTTTGTTGGCTACATTTATGCCGGCAAACAAAACAGGGCCAATGAGCACCAGCTCATCGGACCAAGGCCACCTCCACTAGGTCAGCATCCCTGGCGGTTTTGGCCCAAGCCAATGAGCACGCCCCTGAGCAAATCCACGCACGGATCAGGGGTTGCCACTGTCCAGGGATCAGGCTTTTCACTCATTTGGAGGATATAGCCAAACAGATACAGGCTTCAGGGCCCACTTGGTCCCTGGTCTGGTTTATTTACTGGTCAAGAGATCACTTGGGGTTGTCAAGAAACAACCCCATGCTGTCCTTCACAGGACTTTTGCCCTGGGCTGCCCCAGGACCTTGTATGCACCGAGGAGCCTGAGCCCCCAAGGGTTGGGAATAGGACTCACTGCTCCCAGACCACTCAGACATCACCCACTGACAGTGACCTTCTCCCTCCAGCCAAATACAGAGCTGCACCCCAGACAGACACTGTCAGAATGACCTGGGTTTACTGAAAAGCTTACAAAAGCAGGGACTTTATACCCCAAATCTGGAAGGAAAGGGATTAGTGGTAGCAACAGGGGATGGGGAGAGACTGGGAACAGTGAATTCTTCCCAAATATTTAGATGTAGGGGCTCTGAGAGAAAAGGTGGTCCTTCTGCCAGGGGTCTTCATGCTGGCCAAGCCTGGCAGTGTGACCTAGGACACATCTTCTCAGGATGGAGGACAGCAGTCCTTGTAGTTTGTTTTCTTTCTCTTTTAATTTGGTCCAGGTTCAAGTTTTTTGAGGGACAGCTTTTGCAGGCCTGGCATCATAGTGGGCAAGGCATGTCCCCTAGCAGGTAAGTCTCTATTTCATGCCAGCCTCTGCTTTTGTCAGACTAGGATCTGGAGGTTGAAACTCCCTCCTGAAATCAGTCTCGTTGGAAGGGGGAATCTCTTCTGTCTTTAGTAATGTCATGAAGGTCCTGAGAGGTGGCTTTCAAACACATCCTTGAGGCCTGCAGACCCTAATAGCTAGTTAAGGGTCTCTTGGCTTTGGACAGTGGGTGTTGTGAGGTGCCCAGCTCTCCTCAAACCCCCTGGCCCTTACCCAGGGCTCAGGAGAGCTGCTGGGATGTTGCCTTTAGGCTGCCACAAGCCTTATCAGCAGAGGTTCACTCTCCTGGCTTGAGTGACATGCCACAAAAAGCCGAGGAGATGCCCAACAAAGCAATAGATGGCTAAATTGGGGATTTAGCCATCCATTCTGAGAGGTGCAGAAGGTGCTGATGTCTAAATCATCTTTTTAACAGTGGTAGTTGGTTCATAGAGGCAATGTGAAAGGCTGTCGTGCACATCCCATGGCAAAGGAACGCCTTCCCTCAGGATTTCCAGTAAAATGTGCCATCAATCTTTAGCAACGGGCCAAGTCATGTAAATGGTTTCACTGGTGAAAGCAGACAAAACCAGTCCTGAGCGAAGCTATCAACCCCAGAGCCAAGTTTCGGCAGCTGACAAAGGTTATTAAAAATATCTGACTCCGGGCAAGGACAAGCCAATAAGCCAGGGCTGGTGGTGGGCCCTGAGGATCCCCCTGCCCAGATTGCACATGTGGTGCCAGGGCTCAGCACTGAGCTCAGCCCACCCCACTGCTTTCCATCTGCTTGTGAAACACTGGAGCTGCTCATGCTGCAAACCTCACAAGCCTTTTTTTTTCTCCTCCTTCTCCATCCTGCCTGCATAATGGATTAGCGATGCTAATTCTGTCACTCCAAAGCTGTCTCCAGGTGAAGTGAGCTGGGGGCAGGTAATAAATCTGCCATTGCTCCGATCCACAGCACCTCTGGTGTTTAGAAACCCAACTTGTAGTAAATACGATGCAGGGCCTGTGCACAGATGGCTTAAATTCCACCTAACGCCCCTGCACTCTTTCATACTTTCTACCTGAAAGACTCCTGAAAGTCAATGCAAAATGTGAGATGCAAGGACTTTGAGGTCCTTGCATCTGGAAGTAGTGCACAGCTGGTTGCTCTAGGTTTCATGGCCATTGTTTTGCAATGTGCTGTGGCCATGGGGAGGAAATCTGCTCCTCTGGAGCAGCAGATGAGACCTTGAGGAGTACCATACTAGGCTGTGAGCAGTGTGCGATCTGTCGGAGACACGGCTGAGTAGCTCACATGCCATGGTGTATGTGTGAGGTAGAGGGATGGTCTCACTCCCTTCCCCCGTGCACACTCGCACCGACTAAACTGCAGCCCTGACCCGCATCACTGACTTTACTGCAAGGTCTGGCTGGAAGAGAGGCAGTCTACACTTATCCGAATACAGATAACATCCTTCTTAGTCACAGGTATTTAGCCATTAGTCAAGGACATTCTGCGGGTATAAATAAAATCCCAACCCCAATTTAGCTCTGCTACAAATATCTGCTCAGACCAGAGTATAGACATCTGTGGATCAGGTATGCAGATGTGTGATTGGGACTGGTTTCTTTCATGGTTTCCCTCCCTTGGACTACCAAGAACTCATCTGGGAGTCTCTGGAGTAACACACAAACCCCACCAGTTTTGTCTCCTCTTGGGAGGGAGCTGGAGCCCAGTGGAAGCTACCTCAGGCCTCTATTTTGGGAGAAACTGCCCCTCTAAAGCCAAATGCTAAGTCCTAGAAATTATAATGGACAAGACAATATGCAAACAGGAGTCTAAACTGCATGAGTCCAGAGACCAAAGAGCACAAATGTCTCAGTTGGAGTGGGGTGTGCAAAACCAGGTGGGTCTGACATGCAAACTTTTATCTACAGGCATAAGATCAGCTCTCATTGGTTAGGTGTTTCTCCCCATATCTTATCTGAAACAGTGTCCAGAAGCTGATGCCTAGGGAATGATATAAGAATAAAGCAAACCGAAATAATCCTTTCCCCAAGTCCTCTTCCAGACTCATCAGGGTCTTCCTGAACTTGTCCGTGGTTTCTGTGTACTCACTTACCGTCACTGAATTTCACCTTCATGAAATGATCTGGTCTCCCATTGAATCCATGTCAACTTTTAGCAGCAATAACATCCTGCAGCAAGGAACTCCACAGTTTTGCCAGCCCAATCTGTGCTTAAACACTGAGTAGAAAGGGAACAGCGTCATGCCCATAGGAATAATGCCTATAAAACCTCATTGCAGCTTCCCAAACTGAATTAGACCTGGGTGGAAAACAAGCTCACAGTCAGTCTCTGAGCAACGCAGATGCCTTCCTCTGGCTTCTGAGCACAGGCATTGGCTTCTGTCCTTTGGAAATGCTGCTGCCTCTGGAGCAAAGAGGAGGATTTTATACCTCGGCAGGGAAAGGAGCAGGGCTACAAAGAAAAACACCCAAATTTTCCATGTTTTTAGGACAGAGAGGTGGAAAACTGGACTGTCAGCAAAGCAAAGAGGGAAACCCAGTCATTTTCAGTGCTCCTCATTGCTCTGGTCAAATTCAAAATTCCTCCTCTTGAAGGTTTTAAAATAGCTCTTCCTGACTCTTGAAGATTGATGGGTTCGTTCCTTCCTTTCCCAGATATCATTTCACTTATTTTGACCTTATTCTAGCAGCTCCAAGTGTTTAATGTCTGGGATATTTTCCAGATAGTTTAAACACCAACTTCAAGGGCTGACTTGATGATTTCCTGCTTTAGTATATGCTGCAGTTGGATGACATACTGGATGCAGGTGATTTCTGTCTGGCTTTCACCATAGATGAGCAACTCTCCTTGGGCTGATGTCATTTCACCCAAGCTCAGAGTCTGGCTTACTCTTTCCGCGCATAACACCTGCTTCACTTTTTGAAAATTGCTCCAACATGCTGAATCTGAAGAGCCCTCAAAAGAGCCCCACCCCCATCACTGGAGACCATCCTGTGAGGGTCTGCCGTGACATTTCTAGATGAGTGGTTCACATCTATTTCAGGTATTGGTGCCACGATAGCAGTCTTTCCAATTAAAGAGAATGCCTTTCAGGCAGGCTCTTCAAAAACAACCTGGAAAAATGTTAATTAAAAAAAAAAAAAGCTACAGAGCAATCTGTTTACCTGCCCACATGTAGCCCCCCTAGGGATGAAACTTATTTCTGGCCCAGGACCTAGTAGTAGTTACTTTATCTGCACTGATCAAAACAGCAATTTAAAATCATGGAATAATTTAGGCTGGAAGGGACCTCTGGAGCTCATCTAGTCCTATGCCTTCCTCAGTGAAGGTCTAATTAAATCAGGTTGCTCAGAGCTGTGTCCAGCTGAGTCTTGAACACCTCCAAGGGTGGAGATCCCACAGCATCTTTGGGGGACACCTGGGGAATTTATTTCTACTCTTTTCAAGAAGCTACTGTCCACAGAAAAGCCAGTAACAGGTCAACAAATCAGCACCAATCTGCCTTCATGGCAGCCTCCCATACACTGGGGCAGGGGATGGATGAGGTGTATGTGTGTCCCCTTCTGCTTTGGGGGTGGCAAATTCTAGCAGCAGAGAAAGAAATGAGGGCACAGACAGCAGGTTCCTTAACTGCTGGATCTGCTAGCGCTTGTCTGTCAGAACATTAGTGTGGTTTTACTGATGGGCTTGAACTTGGTAAGATACCCACCTCCAGTGCTCAGAGGAGCGTGACCATACCCAAGGAGACATGCCACCCTCTAATTGAGAGGGTTTGCTGAGCAAATAACTCTTTGTAGGAATTTTCCATGTCCCAAGTTGACTCCAGGCAAAGCCAGAGCCCCTTGAGGCAATGATGTAGCTTCTTGTCTTTATTAGAGGAAATGGCAAGGACTTTGCTTGTTGTTTGGTATTTATTTTTATGCTAAAGGTGTCCACATTATGACTGTTTCGTCTTGGCAACTTATCCCAGGCAGATGGATGTGATGTGAAATGACTGCCCTGGAGCTGTGAATACAGTGCTCAGCCCCTTCACAGGTCTGCAAAGGCCTGAGGAGACCTTCCAGGACCCAGCCTGGATCCTTTTCCAGTCTTGTTAAAACCAAAGACTAAAACAACAACCTGCTGTCACATCTGCCCTTCCTTATCTCTCTAGGTGTGGTGTTCACTGGCTTCATCTGTGATATTTGCATGGGGTACTTAGTAGATAGCAACATGCTGTGTATAAGGTTGTTATCAAAACCTGCGCGAGATGGCACGCTTCAGAGCTTAGAGGCCAAGAAGGGCCTGGCTACGGTCACTAAAGCTTTGAGAAAGGGTGAGGGCCTTTTTCCCCTTTTCTGACATAGTCTCCCTAGCTCTGTGGAGGCAGGCTGGGGAGGCAACAAATGCCAACATGCTGCCATGGTCTCCACGGTGCACCCAGATTTGCTGTAGGAAATGTCCTGTGTTGCCACGGCCTTCACAGATCTGGGCTTTGGAGGTCTGTGTCTTCTTTAGTTCAGGAGAGCTAGCACAATGAACGACCTCTGCAATCATTTTGTCTCCCAGAGATGAGCCAGAGCTGCATCAGGCCCCTTGGTAGGGTATTAGTCTGCCTCCAGGACCCCTCCTTCATGGCTGCACTGGAGTTGTAGGCATGGTACCTTCTAGCTGGTCCGATCTGAGCAATGGGGCATACAGCCTTACAGCCTCTTCTCCTCCTACAGACGCAGTCAGCCATCTCTGTCAGTCACTATGAAGATCCATCAGTGCAAAAAACAGCAACCTGTTTTGTCTACGGGCAAATGTTCCAGGCCTAGTTTGCCCCTAAGGCTGCTTATTCTGCAGAAGGAGTGCTTTGTGGCTTAGCTGGCTTGAGAAATAGGTTAAACTAATCACGAGTCTGCACAGGTGGACTGGAAGGTCAGACCTGAGCCTTACATTCACACCTTTCCTTGTTTTACAGTAGCCACACAAGGCAGTCCTGCCTGCAGCAGGTGAAAAACTGGTGGCAGAGCTGAACAAAGGCCTTCCCGTCTGTGGGACATCTCAGTTTGGAGTGAAATCTCAAGGTGCTTATAGTCTCCACGAAGAGAAATATCCCCTAGAGCTAGCCAGCCAGAAACCCTGGAAGCTGGACAGACCTGGCCAGAACTGCCTCCCAACGAGAGGCATTTCCAGGGGCTATGGGAGAGGAAGAGGTGTGAGTTGCATATGTTGGACAGGAGCCACTGACCTCCAGCCAAAGGACACTTTCTGCTCTACCAATCTGTTCACTTTTCTTCCTCGTTAATGCCTAAGCTACTTCCATGCTTGGCAATTGTAATTTGAATAATTTAGACTGATTAATGTTTACATAGTAACATTTGGAGGAAATGAAACCACATGTCAGCCAACTAAAGGCTCTGAAATGCTGTTTTGTTGGATTTCCTAAAGAAAGAGGCTTATAGGACCATGCAGACTTAGCCACTTGCTTGTCTGTGAGGCTAATCATCTTGAAATGTATTGACAAATCACGGCATATCAGGTAGGGGTGCAGATCTCAAAGATATTTGATTCTTGTAAATTTTAGGCAGAACTGATTGCTGACTGGAGAAGAAGGGCTGCATTGCTGTTGTCACTGAAGGAAGGGCAGGGGCAGCAGTTCCTCAGCCTGCCTGGTATGCTCTGGAGCAGAAAGACAGCAACTAGCACCTATACCCTTCTGCTCAGCACCTGCATAGCTCCAAACAAGGCCAAGACATGCTGTATCTGCAGCCAGAGGGCCAAGGATGGGTGACAAATGGGGGAAGGTGATGAGAGGGCAGTGGGAGCATTGCATTTGAGTGACCAAGGGGACTCAAGAAGGAGGAATGAGGATTATGGGATTATCTAGGGGTCTTGTGGGAGTAGGTGAAAGATGCCTGGGAGATATGGGATGCAAACCTGCAGGCTGTAAAGATTTGTCCATTGCATGGAGCTTCTTTGCTTTTTTCCTGATGAAAGACCATTTTTCAAAGGTTGCTGGGGATGCAGAAATCCTTTTAGTCAATCCTCTGCCTTTCTTCATCTCCGCAGGCAGAGAGACATCATGTGATCTCTGTCTGGGAAAGCTCACAACCTGCCCCCATCTTCAATGGTGCTGGTGGAATCTATGATCCTTTAAAATGTTGTTTGCAAAACCAGGAAGGTTCTTCCTACCCAATCCACTTTTGACCCAGACCACCTCTGCTTTTCATTATTCTCCTTTCAGCTTGGCAGTTTACCTTGATTGGCTCGGATGACGCCAGGAGTGTCCTAGCAACTCAAAATTCCCTGGAGAAATGTGGCAGGGGGATTTCTGAATTACTGTAATGGAGCCTTCGAACTCTCCCAATTAGCAGTGGAACTCTGAATACCAGCAACACTGAAGAGACAAGGACGTAGGGACAGGGATCGGATTAAGTTGCAAGCTTCAGGAATCCTTTCGACTTTTGTTCCTTGTGGTATTTACAGTCTGCGCACTCTGCCCAGCAGATGAACGTGTCCAGCCAGCCCACCAGCCCACATCATAGCGTTCATCCAAAATGGCACTGGATGTTTAAGCAATGAAACCTGCACCTGGGGTATGAAATGATTTTACATTCAGACATGGTATTTTGGTGTCTGCAATAAAAGCAGCCCACCATGCACTCCACCTGGGGGGCCATTAAAGCTATTGTAGACCCTTGGGTCTGTTCATCTGCTGACGTGTGGGCATTTACGCACGTGCCAGTGTCATCAGAGATGCCCAGGTATCTGAGACAATCACACAGGACCCAGCGGATGTGACATTCGTCTTACGGGAGGCCCAGCCCCAGGAGAGCTGCTGAAAGGTAGGATATACCCAAGAGCACGAAAGACCCACAAAGGAGCCCTGGATCTCCAGTGACTATAACAGCAGCAAATTTCTGATGTTGAATTGTACCCTGTCCCCCCAGGTGTATGAGATCCCCAGTAGTGAGCAGAGACCTAACTTGTGCTGTTGGTTTCCATCAGCGAACGCTGTAGTCGAGCTCCTGTGCTGGTTTTCATGTGCTCCCATGCTCCTGTCTTCCCAGGCTGTCTCAGGGCACTGCTTTGGCTGGAGCTGGAGCTAAAAGCAGTGCTGCGCCTGAGACCAGTGCTTTATACCCGCGTGAGCCTCCCAACTCCGCCAGGAGCTTTGCTGACGTTGGCACCTTCCTGTCTCTTCAAAATCTGGCCTGCAACTCCCCCACTACATGGCATTCGCCTGATGGGGCATTTCTCACCACCCTCCCTCTCCCATAAGCCTCAAGTAACCAGGAAAAGGAGGAGGGGATTTAACAGAAACTGAAATAATACAATGCCAAAGCCCTCCCCCAAAGCTGATCTTTTATCTCCGGGCAGGAGCAACTCCGGAGCCTCCATGAAGCCTGCTGGGAGTTTGAGCCGACTACTGATTTTATTCAGGGGATGCTCTGCTCTCCAGCAGTGGGCTGAGGATAAAATCCTAGGAGAACTGAAGCAGCCTTCCCATATTTACTTATTTATTTGACACTCTGGGTATATGCACGCATGGGTGTGTAGGGATTTATAAATGAACACGGGTTTGGACTGTCTTGTTTTTTTCCCTCTAAAAAAGGTTAAAAAACACCCACCAAATTTCGCTAGATCTGAGCATTGGCAATGTTCAGACCAGAAGCTTACACAGCAATTGCACACACCCCAGGTGCTTTCGTACTGTCTCCCCAGATGGCTGGGAAGAGCCCCAGATCGGGCTAGGAGTCCATGCGCTCTTTAAATATGGGAGAGTCGATGTTTCTGCCTTTTCATTTTCTGCCAGAATTGGATACTGCCAAGGAAATGAGAATGCATTCCCTCCTGGCTGCAAGAATTAATAACTAGTATACTGAGACAAATGATTCCAGCTTCTCTATGTTTGTGGCTCAGCAAACACTGATACTCAGCTCTCCAATGCTCCCGGCTTTTCTGTGCATGTGACACCCGCAGAAGACTGAGAACTGCTCGTGGAGGATAATTATCTCCCCAAAGCCCCCCCAGGTGTTTTCCGAGGCCTCTCTTCTTGCAGGACTTCTGCCTTGGACCGTTTATCCACAGAGACCAGGCAGCACCCAAAATCAGCAGTGCACCGTGTTAGTGCTGTCACACAGTGACTGACCAGGTCCAGAGCTGGTGTAAAGCGCTTGAGCTTTGCAGGGGAGGGTCTGGAAATGATCCGCACAGCACGAGCCCTGGTTACTTCTTCTCATTCTGCAGGACTTCTACCTTGCTGCTGTACTGCCCTCATCGATTTGTGTCCCTGCGTCCCCTTTGTTGGCCATCCTGCTCCAACACAGGGCTGTGGGATGCGCATGTACAGCCCCTAGCACACTAAGGCCTCAGTCTCAAGAAGGACTGCAAGGATCTGGGGTAATACAAACTGGAACTAATATAGGAAATGTATCTGTGGGTCAAAGCGTGGTCCCTTGAGCCCATGCTGGCCAAAGAGACGCTTTTTAGGGAGAGCATACGAACCTGTCAGCTGGCTGTGGACCACTCCTCCTGCACTGCCCCAGCGTCTACACCTCTGGGATCTAAGATGCTTGAGAGGACATCCCACTCTCGTCTTCAACATCTATTAATGGACCTGCTGTCCATGAATTTTTCTAGCTCTTTTTTTGATCCTGCTGACGCTTTCTGATACAGACTGTGCAAAGGGTTACTTTCTGTTATCTGTTTTAAACTGATCTCCTTCCCAGTTTCATCACTTGCTTCCTAGAATTCGGTGAAATTCAGTTCTGCATTCACCTTATTCCCCACTTTCACGACAGCTGAACATGGCCAGACCAGTCTCTGGGGCAGAAGACAGGCCAAGACATCAGTATCGTTTACTGATACAGATGTAGTTTGAGTAGTTAGCCTCGAGCACGTTCCACTGCTGCATAAATACACTGACCGAAAAACACTCGAGAAACATTCCTGGGAATGCAACCTCTCTGAGATTCAATGCTCTATCCAATCTGGCTGGGATCAGTGGGTTCAAAAGTTATGTGGAGGGAAGAGGGGATGGGCTGCAAATAGAGGGATACACAATCAGCATCATCTCATACGTGTCAAAGGCTTAGGGAAAAAAGCTAAAAACAGTCCATGCATCAACAATCAGAATAGACACCAAGAAAAAGAAGATCAGGACAAATGGGGAAATTTTATGAGGCGTAATTAATGTGATCTACCAAATAGATCACAGTTCTGCTCTGAGGAAGCCAGGGAAGCAGAAAGGCAGAAAACGAAGCTGAGTGTCTCCCTCCCGCATGCAACATGCAAATCCATCCTGAGCAATTCCTGGAGCAGCTGAAGGTCAGTAACTGATTTGGAGACCTGGGTTTCTGACTATATCACGATGCAGATGTGCTTCCCAGCCCAGCTAGAGGGCTGCTCTAGCTCCCACTGTAATAAATGAGCTCAGAATATGAATAGGGACCGCTGGCACTGAGTGGGGAAGGGAAAGGAGCACATTCTTCGCTTGACAAGTGAGAAACAGGGAGACAAAAGCTCTTCCATGCCAAATTAACACACTTTTGTCTTGAGCTGCAACCCCTGCCCGCCTCTCTTTCCTCCCAGAGCAAAACTCCAGGCTTTGGGTATGCTTCCTGGGCTAAAAGGAGGAGGGAGGAGGGGTAGAGGTTGTCTTGGGTTGTTTTTTGCTTGAGGTGGAACCTGCCTGCTTTGGAAATGAGGATTAGACTTAAACCGCTTGGATGCTTTCAGCCCTCCCCACAACTCATGTCAGAGCACAGACGAGTCTCTCCATTGCCGTTGGGGGTGTGGAGAGCGTCTCAGCACAGCGAGCTGGCGAATCTCTCCCAGACCTTCATCCCAAGGCAGAAGGCGTGACACGCAGCGGAGTGGAGAGGACTGTCCCCAGCTCTGGCTGCTGATCACCAGCCTGGGTTCGCCAGGGAGGCATTTCCTAGCCTGGATGTTGACATTTGCCTTTGGGAGTCCTCAAAAACTGCCTGGCTCCTGGGCTAAAGCATCTGTCCTCTTTAATAAGATACCATCTTTGCAGAGCCCAAAATTCAAAGAAGGAACTAGAGAAATTCATGTGGGATTGGTCTATCATCAGCGACGTTTGAATCGTCTCACTCAGCAGACCCCTACAGTGAAGGCAGAAGCTCAGACGCGGGGCCAAGGGTGAAGATTCACCCCTAAAACAAGGTCCTGAGGAGGGATGGCACTATAGCCATTTCCTTGCCCTGCCTGATGGTCCAGTAAAGGCTCTTGCGATGAGGTCACTGGTCCTTTGAGACCTAGATGGAGAACACCAGCTTTGTTTAGTGGATATTGTAGATCCAAACCAGTTAAAGCTCTAGTTAAGCCTTAGGCCTTTGGTACCTAGAGACTGCAAATGCAGGGAATAAAACAGCTGCTGATGGAAGTGACTGTGTTGGGAGTTTTTGCCATGGTTTTAGGCAGTTCGGAGATCCTCTAAGTAAAGGTGTACAGGATTTAAGCCTGGCCACCATGCTTATGTACTATGAATTTTGCAGCATCTTGGCGGGGTGAGAACCTCAACAGCCACTGTTAAAAACCCATAATAAAAAGAAAAATGTTTGATGGGTGCCCAGAAGAGCTCTGGAAGCGGCGCCCTCCTGGTTGTCACCCGAGCCTGGCAGAGTCAGCAGCAGATGGATGTGCTGAAGCAGCACCACAGAGGCAGCTGGGGCTCCCTTGCCATGTGAGCCAGAGCATACAGAGGAGGCCACAAGTCCAGAGGGAATGCTTTTCTTTTTAGTCCTTAAGGAGTCATGTAAAGGTCAGCTCTTGTTTTGCATTCCTACCCACTGCAGACTTGAATTTTGCTTTCACTTAATGCTCCAAACCCCATAGCAGCCAACAGCTTTTGGATCTGGCTGGTGCAGGACAAGCACTAAGAGCTGAGCAGAGGGAATAATGAGGAACACCACTCAACAGTAAAGCAGCGAGTAGGACCAGCATGTTTTCTTATCTATTTCCTCTTTAATTATTTCCTCTCCTTTAATGAGTTCTACACTGATAAGGAGGACAGATGGGCTAGGTGAGCTGAGAGAATTTTGTCTTTCTTTCCCCAGCTCTTATTTCTACAAGGAAATGATACAAGGAAAGGCAAATATTTGACTGTTTGGAATGCGGAGGAAGAAGCAACCAAAATGCAAGCCAGCATGTGAATCCCCAGCCAGGCAGGGGTTTCTATGGCATTGGCACTATCATCAGTCTATCGAAGTGGCTGGAGTAGGAGTGCCTGGCAACCAGCTGTAAAGCAAGGCAGAAAAAAGGACATTCGCATCTGTTTCAAACACATGCCCTTATCTTACTGCTACAGCTGAGGGTGTTTCAGAGAAGAAACAGCATTGGAGGGAATGTCAGGGAGGAAGATGAGCTGGGGGACAGGAGCTGGAGAACAGCAACAAAGAGTAGGCTTGGGTAACTGATTTAGAGGAGCGGGAGATTTGGAAATGAAGAGTGCCACGTGCAGGAGCTGGAGGCTGCAAGAGGAGACGCACCGGCCCAGTGTCATAGGGGGAGCCAATGGCTGCAGAAACAGCCATTTACTATCATCTCTTCTCCAGCAGTTGATGTTTACCAGGGCAAAGGGCCAGTGTCCTGCAAAAACCCTCAGTGAGTTTCAGGGGGGATATGGGGCTTCAGCAGAATTCCAACACCTCTCCCTTGGGGGATGTAAAGTGAAAAATGTTTGTCCTTTGTGGTCCCAAAGGCCCATCTGCCCTAGGATCCTGGCTCTGACAATGGTAGAAGGAGAGATTAGGAGGTATTTCTCCTGCTTTCCCCTGACTTCTGCCAACTTTGGTTTGGGAACTGCTGTAGCCAGTTTTTGTGCTTGCATTTTTGAACATGGAGCCCTTCACGGGGCCTATGTTGGGAGAAACACCAGCTGCAGGTAAGGAAAACCTTGCCTGAAATGCGGCCTGCAGGCAGGAGATTGAGCTGAGCTCCCACAGCTGGGCCGCAGTGTCTTCTGCATGGCTGAAGGACCATGAGCTCTCATTTGGGAGATGCTGTTTTTTTACCAAAGGACTGTTCTTCACTCCTCTTCCCAAGGACGGCCAACACCGGTCTTCATCTTGTAACCTGCCTTCATTGGCAAGGCTCTTGGGAGCGTGGTGGTCCAGCAGCTCCCACTCGGGGTTGTCCCTTGTCCTTGTGCATCTGCTGGGGTCACAGGAGCACTAAGTAGGCAGTGACATAGTGGCTGGAGTTCACAGACCAGTCACAGGACAGTAAATTTTCCTTTGGCCCATCTGACAGCCCAGAGGGTGACGTGCATCCAGGGCTGGTTTACTGCCCTTCAGAGCATCAGCATTACCAACACACACATGCAGAGCAGTACACATACACACTCCCCTTCCACGCACTGTGGTACCCACACGCAAGCACACGCACTGTGTTTCACGCTATTGCATACAGACGTACATACACAAACACACAGACACACCCACACTGGTATCCAGCAGATACATCATACTCCTGGAAGCCTAGCCCCAGCTGGAGAGCTCTTTATGTGTATGAGACTAATTAGTGGGTTTTAGCAACCAGCTTAGTAAATTATAATCCCTTTATAACAGCGCATGGAGCCCTCCAAACCCCATGCTTGTTGATGTGTGATTGCCTTTCTGAATGCTCGATGCTGGCTCTGACTCCTTAGATGTTCTGCGCTGGCACCACCTCTGCGGGTCATTGCCCTTGGTCGACCAAGACAGCAGGGCCCTCAGGAAAGGCAGCAACGCTAGTGTTTGGCTTTACCCTGGTTGCCTTTCTGATGCTCCATCCCAGCCCTGCAGCTCCCTTCAGGCCCTGTGCGCTTTCTGGGTTAATCACATCTGTCCCTCTGGCATCAACTTGGGGTGTGACATGGGGAGGGTGGCTTTGGTTGTGTCTCAGCAGGCTGGAAAAGGGGCAGCACAGACATGCTAGGCAGTTGTCCTCCTTCTTTCGCAGCCTTCCTCCACCACGGTAACTTGCAGCTGTACCAAAGCACGTCCTTGACCACTGCCCTGACACTGCTAATGCTCTGCAAGCACTGGAGCGTGGTCCTCCTGTCCTCCTATTTGCACTCAGCTAGCAATGTAGCAATATGTTCAAAACAGACACCAGCAGCGAGACACAGTGCTTGCAGGGCTGCATGGTCAGGAGATTAAGGGCTTCTTAGTTTCCCCACCTGAAAAACAGGGCTAAATGAAAAAATGAGCACTCAGAGGAAGGGAGGTTCAGCCCAGGCTTAATTCCATCCTGCCCAGTCCAGCTAGACAATAACATCCTGAACACCTCAAAGAAATACGTGCTCACAAACATGTGCCCTTGCCAGGAGACAGAAGAAATAGGAGGAGGGATAGTTTCATGGAGGGAGGAGTGTTAATGTCTGTACTTCAGGAGAGGAGGAAGGCTTTGGAGGTTTCTTTGGGATCTGCAGAAGTCCTGCTGCCCCAGGGGGGCTACAGCTGTGGGCAGGCTGCTGGACACACAAAAATCCTGGCTGCATCATCTGCTCCCACAAATTATCTCTTCCCATCATCTGCACAACACATCTGACACTGCCTGGACCTCATGGGAAGACCTGTGGGAAAACGTGGCCGGAATGGAGAGCCCAGCCAGGGTATGCTGGCTTGCCATGAAGCAGGTGTCCCTGGTGCCCGGAAGCAGTCTTTGACCTCCTTATTTCCTAGCATATTTTATACCAGTGAATTTTGGCCCTTTGGGCTGGCACGGCCACCTGACAGATGGTCGCAGGAGACAGCTCAGGTAGGAAGGCAGCTAGTCCGTGTGCCAAACACCACCTTCCCTTCCCTTTGCTACCGGGTGGAGGAAGCAGCCGATTTGTGCAAAATCCATGGCAACACAGCCGACAGCCTCGGAGCCATCCCCTCGCCTCCCTCCCCTCCTCAGCACGGCTTTGTCTGCTGCTCACACATCCCTGAAGTTCTCACTTTTTGTTTGTCTTGCGGATTTTAACGGGAATGTCTTTGTTCTTCCTGCTGCACGTTGCTCCCGCAGGCAGTGCCGCCTGGGGACAGAAAAGACAGGTTTCCCCCCTCCTGCAGCAGAGTCTGAGTGGATTTAGCATGTAAGAGACACCTTCCTGCCTTTTTCTACACTGCCAGAATTACAAAAATGACTGCTGATGTGCGTGAGCTATCAGGATTCATGGCTTGCTCAGGAGGTGGGTAAATAATTGGGGCTGCACCCCCCCATGCCAAAGATTTCTTTCTGCAAAAGAATCAACCTGCGACTGTAAGAGTCTTGTCACCAGCAACAACAAAGTGTGTTCCCCTTAGAGGAAATCCTATAATAACACACGGGTGAGGTCTCCTCCGAGCTTAAGGACGTTCCTGCATCAGTGGAGCAGTGTATTTTCCCCTCTGGGATTCACAGTCAGCTCAGGAAGACTAACTGTGCATGCAGCCCACTGCCTGCAGGCAACCCTGTCAAAACAAGCCCAAAGCCCACGACTCGCACGCGAGGCTAGAGGTCTGTAACTGCAGCCCGCAGAGGAGAAATGCATAGCAACAAGAGAATTTGCCACCTTTCCAAGTAAAAACAGATAGAGGGAATCCTAAAAAAAATCCCTTCTTGCCGAGCCCACTGCAGATATGAAATCCCTGTCTTCTCTCTTAACAGCAGTCCTTGAAAGAAATGATCCCGAAACCATTCATCTCCTTCATTCCTCAGTTTCCACCAGGAAAACAGCCTCCTCTGCAGTGTGTGAAAACCCTCCAGGCACCTGGACATCATGAAATCAGTGTTTTCATCCCAGGGGGAGCGCCAGCATGGTGCTGATGCCAGAGGCTCCTGACTTTCCCCTGGCCCCAACAGCAATTGCCCTGGGAGACGGGGGTGAGCCCTGGAGGAATCCGAGCTGGCAGGAGCCTTTCAAAGCTCCGACGGGGAGCCTGATGTCCCCGCAGCCAGTGCTAGTAAATCACGGCATCTACCTGGGGTGGCAGGAACACTCTGTGCTGCGCTGCACTGCACTGCACGTTCATGAACCCCGAGCACAGCCCCAGAAGAAAGAACAAAAAACAGGCAAATCTTTACCTGGAGTTTGCATTAAACAAGCAGGTCCCAAACAAACCCAAATCCCAGGAGTATGGTCGTCCTGAGATTACTCCCCCTCTCCACCAGCACTCTTCGGCTCCAATTTTTAAAGAGGAAGGGTTGGTCAATGGTTAGATCGTTGTCCCGGCACCAGTGAGTGCTGGCGTCACCACCCTGCTGGCAGGCTGGCCTTTTCTCACGGCAGGGCTGGAGACCCGTGCAACAGCACAGTGTGGTTGCCACAGGTGAATGTGCTACAGGCGTCACCATGGGTGCAGCGAAGGTCAGGGTGGAGATGGGTCTCATTGCCATGAGCT